CATTTTTTATTTCATTTATTAGAATTTGAATTTTCCGGCTGAAATGGTGTACTGTGGTTACTAATTGTGTTATTATCTTGTGTTTTCCTTGAAGCTGAAAATGTAATTCATTGAATAATTCTGTTATGTCGCACAAGATCATACAAAAAATTTTAGTTTTTAGTTCTAAAACGAAATCCCCATTATCTGAAGACATATTTTGTTCAAAAAATGTTAAGATTTCATTCCGTAAATCGAACAGGCGCTGAAGGCTTCTCCCACGGCTTAGCCAACGAACCTCAGTATATAATAGTACGTCACTGTATTCCGCTTTTAGATCCTCAAGAAGCGTTTTGAAGAGTTTTAAAGAGTTGTGGCCCCCTTTAATTTTATTTATAATTTTTATTGATATATTCATTGCCCTTTTCAAATAATCCCCTTTTGCGAATAACGCTTGCTGGTGGATTATACAATGGAAAAAAAGAACCTTGAAATGATTTTTTAATAATTGCCCTACTAAGCCCTTTTCCGATCCCACCATTACTTTGGCCCCGTCCGTACAAATTCCGGCTAATTTATTTTTATCAACAAAGCAGAAGACTTTCTCAACCAAAACATTGTATAAAATTTCACCGGTTATATTGCTATGCTATGCTATGCAAAGCAATAACATCAAAMATTTCTTTGAAAGTTTGAAAATTTTGATCGACAGTTTTTACACAAATTATTAGTTGACAAATACTACTTAGACCAGTACTCTCATCTAAACTGAGAGAAAAATATTTGCAATTTAGCAATCTACTTTTAGTCTCAGAGTGGATGAATTTGCTTATATCTTCAGTCCTACGTGTGACGGTACGACAAGATAAAGGTACTTTTTCTATGATTTTCAAAACTTCTTGCYYTTTTTCATCAAAACATTTCAAAACTTTTGAAGACAAATTTAAGAAAAAAAGGCCATCTTCAAATAGACGACACTGCTTTGCCAAAGCCAACGCAACAGTAAAAGAYGCCTTTATTAAAGGCAAATCAATATCTTTATTATTATTTTTACCATTATCAGTTTCAGKATCATTATTATTATCATTTGCAATGAATTTAAAAAAAAATTCTGCTTGCAATTGCAAAAGCATTAGCTTCCGCTCACCTCCAGTAAAAAATTTAAAATTTATATTTCAAGAGAAATAATGTCGGCTTAAACAAAATTTAGGATTGCGACCAACAATGTCGTAACAAATAAGACATTGTGCTCTTCCATCCAAATTTTCTATAAAGAAAAAATCTTCTTCCCATTCGCGCATAAACAATGTTAGCTYTCACTGTATATTTGAAWTAGCGTAGCGTGRTGTTGCTTGAACATGTGTTTGCATGCAACTGTTTTGCTTTCCCATAGCCACTGGTATGATCTTCATTGTGCCGAGGGCTACCGATCGTTCGTGTTCTATAAATAGCGTAATATTTTGTGCTGCTCGTCGCAGCAGAGGCCCTATGCACGCGTGCATAGGAAAATCAACTTGTGCCCTCNTGTTGCTTGAACATGTGTTTGCATGCAACTGTTTTGCTTTCCCATAGCCACTGGTATGATCTTCATTGTGCCGAGGGCTACCGATCGTTCGTGTTCTATAAATAGCGTAATATTTTGTGCTGCTCGTCGCAGCAGAGGCCCTATGCACGCGTGCATAGGAAAATCAACTTGTGCCCTCTTCTGCAGTACAACAATATTGTAACATTTCATTATTTAAAATTTCATACGCATCTATCAGCACATTCAAGTATGTTAGTACAATTTAAATTCAAATCAAGATTTTGTAGTTTGTCAGTAATAAAATGTGCGCACACTGCTTTACAATTGCTATATGCATATGTATGTATGTATATATGACATTGCCGAAAAAACAAAAGTAATAAATATGTCACCCAAAAAAACTGTAAACATTGTTCTACAAAAATAACAATCACCTAAAATGGCATTAGCAGCGTCTGAAGTCACTATGACAAATTTGTAAAAAAAAAACTACAACAAAAATATTTTCAACCCCGCAAACGCCCAAGGCACAGAAATATATGAAAACGTGGCAACATTGCTCTTGTCCATTTAAAATATTTTACAAATCTAAAATATTCTTCTGCAGCTCACAAAAACCTGCATCGATATGTAAACAACCTCATAAATAAATATATGTATTCTAGTTTCTTGTTGAAGCAGTTACAGCACGGTAGAGGAGGAGTAAAGTGTGGACCTGTCTCTTATACACATCTAGATGTGTATAAGAGACAGGTAGAGGAGGAGTAAAGTGTGGACCTGTCTCTTATACACATCTAGATGTGTATAAGAGACAGGTAGAGGAGGAGTAAAGTGTGGACACATGGATAAGACGTATGAGACTTATAAGACGTTACTGTATTATTTCATTCTCTTTATATTCTTCTTGGAAATTTACAGTTTTAACTGAATTCTAATTTTAGTTTTAAGAAGCGTCACTTCTTGTATAGACGCCAACAAGTGAAGAAGTGTTTTGAATTATCTTAATAAATAATCGTTTAAATATTAAATATGGTGTATTAACATCGCCACAAAAGTAACTATCAGCTGATGTTATGTAAACAAAGGGACAGCTGAGGTACAACTGTAGTAACGAAAAGGGGAGGCCGGGATTGAGTTTCTATTAGAATTCATGATGGCCGATTTTTAATCGGAAAGTGGTTGCATTGTGTTCTTTTCTTAAAATTTATGAAAAAGTTGTCCCAAAAATATTGGTTATATATAAAACTTTAATATATTTTCAAAATAAAATATTTTTATTTTAATATATATTCTTAAAGATGAGAACAATATGAGCAAATACATGGAAAATTAAGTTTTTTATTTAAGCCTATTTTTAACTGTGGTAAGTTAATAAATCTTCACCACAGAAAAATGTTACGAACAAATAACCAACCATGACGTATAGTGGGGTCCAGAATATGCTCATTCACAGCCATATTTATATTTTTGCCATCATAACGTAGGTTTTTGCAAGACAATTTTTTTGAATTATTATTTGAAAATACGAAACACCTAAACATGGCTTCGTTAATATTGCTGCGTAATGGGTCAGGTGCTGTTCCAATTTTATGATTTAAGAGATGAAAAGGCGATACGCGATGCTGTGAAGTACTCAAACGTAGTCAAATGTAGACCAACTAAGTTGGGTCGTGAATTCGACACAAAATTTTAAATTCAATGGCATGCTTGTGGAAGGTGCACGTCGCATTGCTAGGTAAGCTAAAATAAAACTTTATTTCAAAAGATTTACCATGCATTTCTTATTTTTTTTTTACAGAATCAGCAAAGAAGCTTTTATACAACGTTTGATTATTCGTCTGCCCTTAACTCTAGTCCGAAACCAATGAGATTTGTGATTGTCTAAGCAACTTTAATACTACGGTGAATGTGCTGTTCTGATTTTGCACAAGCTTTGTCAATTTCGCTAAGGATCCCTTGGTCGGGTTTATCAAGCTGTTGGGTAGGTTCTGAGCAAAATTGAATTTTCATACTTTTTAATATGCTAAATACTCAACACCCACCTTGTAGACCAAAGCGTTACCAGTTGAGCGAATCGTGTTACGCGTAAAGATGAAAATGCTTGAGATACCGTCGTTAAGACATGAGTTGCGATCCTACCTTCCTATTGAAAGCCAAATTCACTGAGCCTATCTATCCTGGACAACCTATTGGTGAGCTACATCTGGAACGCATCGATCGCGAACGTATTACCGATGTCGTTGGGTGTACAATTGACCTCCATGGAAAAGCAAGTACCATGGGAATTGCGGCCATATCGTGCTGCGCATATTATGATGCCGATTTGGGAGAGTGGGAGGAACCAGCTCTACCAAAACCGATAAAACATCGGGAAGAACTACGTATGTTTGCATAAAACTACTATAATGACAACAACGTTAACAACAACAGCCAAGCAAGTAATAAACAACACTTATCAAATGAAAGTTGGTGGCGTTGGTGGTCAAGCAGCGATTTCCTTTAATTTCCTTTATTTCTTTAAGAATCCTTTTTATTTAAAACTCAGCTTAGAACTAAAAAATAATATGGTAAATCTGTTAGCATAGTCAAACACACATTTGTGAATGAGAAGGATTCCTCGGCGTATAGCTAAACTCTGACACATAAAAAGTTTATGTAGTTTGTGATTCTTCTTCTTGATTGGCGTAGTCACCGCTTACGCGATTATAGCCAAGTTAACAACCGCGCACCAGTCGGTTCGCTACGCGGCGACACTTTGATATTCCAAGTGAAGCCAGGTCCTTCTCCACTTGGTCCTTCCAACGGAGTGGAGGTCTTCCTCTTTCTCTGCTTCCCCTGGCGGGTACTGCGTCGAACACTTTCAGAGCTGGAGTGTTTTAGTCCATCCGCACAACATTACCTAGCCAGCGTAGCCGCTGTCTTTTAATTCGCTGAACTATGTCAATCTCGTCGTATATCTCGTACAGCTCATCGTTCCATCCAATGCGATAGTTTGTGATTACAAAGATTTAAACTTAAAATATAGGAAATATGTTATATACTGTTATAATTATCTCTTGATTTATCTTACAATAAAAATTCGTGTTTTACTGTTCAGACGAATTATTATGATATGTAATACCAAACTTTTCCACAATAGTTATCTCTTATGGTCCACTAATTATCAAATATAATTTTCAATTTGTCCTTGCATAAGTTAACGCTTAAAAATATATAGCATATTTATCTATATCATGAAGGTATAATTAATTTTTTTTATAACATAAATTACAAATAGTATTTATAAATGTACAAATATAGTACTATATATTTATAATTTAATATTATAGCATTTTCGCTTTCTGCAACCCGTTTTGACCTCTCGCCACCCTTATTCACTAGTGGTGGCCATGATATTTTTATTGTGAACGTACACTTGGGGGGTAGGTTAAGGCTCTTTCCCTACTCCCTTAAATCTAACAAAAACCAAGCACAAACCGGGCGCGAAATCACCAAAATAAAAATATGTAAATACAACAAACATTCGGGCGCGAACTTAAAAACATAAACATACATATGTACAAACACAAACAAGAAGTCAGACAGCTGGAAGAAAAGAGGATTTGGCAAGAAAAGGGCATATATACTCATTATACTCTTCAAAACCCAAAGTGAGCGCATTTAGTTCATATAAACATAATTTATGCTGCCGCTGTATGTGAAAATTTCAGGTACACATATGTATAAGTATAATACCTGTAATAAAGAAAATAAGCAGAGGCAACAACATCAAAAAACACATAGAAAGAAAAAGCAAATAAAAATAAATACAAACACAGTCATCGACTAAAGCTCGCTCTATGTAGACGTGTTTCGGCTTATCTTTTGCGTATTTCGCTCAGTACACATCSGYCTTACGTGCACGTGTTTGCTTAGTAAATCTCTGTTTTATAATTATACCGCATATCGTTTTTCCTACAAGTGTTTTCTAAACAAGTGAATTGAGTGTGTAGAAATAATAATCATGGCCCCGGGCCACCCAACCTCGGGAATAACAGGTTTGCTTTGCTTGCCTCG